ATAAAAACGCCATAAATGGTGATTTGTAATAAATCAAAATTAGCAGCATACAACTTTGGGCCAACACTCACGCCCTTTGGCCGCGGCCAAAACTCCCCCTCCCCCCTCTACTCCACCAACCCCTCTACAACTAAATATACATATGTATATATATATCTGTATATATACTTGTAAGTGCAGGTTGCAATCAATGCCGTAATAGCAACAACAGCAATAACAACTTCCGTATTTCATGCGCTGTAATTTAGCTCAAGTAACAAAATGCAAAGCCAAACTAAATGTTGACGGTGACGCGACACGACGCTGAAACTTTGAGCCGAGATCGGGGAATTGCACGGAGAAAAACCGGGATCAAAGTTCAGTTCGTTGCATTTGGGAATCACATTTTACAAAGGGCAAAAAACATTTAAATAGCATATATCACATGGAATTTACAAGTGAAACAACAGAAATTGGCTGACCAGATCCTATAAATTTTTATAAACAAAAACAAACTCATTCAGGAAAGCCGGACATGTTGACCATATCATTTTCTCTGCCTGTGATCGGTAAGCCGAATCGGCAGCCAAGTGCCAGCTGAAAACTGAAAAACAGAAAACAGAAAACTGAAAAACAGAAAACGGCAAGCTGCAATCCAATATTTGCCATGTGAGCTGGCTAGCCGAAAGGCGACTCTCCTAACACGTCTGCACTCGATGGCCAGACACTTGCGGCGATTTGATTCGATTCGGATTCGTGTTTACATACAAATTGACATAATTTGTTTATAAATGTTTAATGATCGGCTGGTGACCAGGCCCAAACCAGACGCAGATTGTTTATGATTTGCAATTGTGCAAATACGCAAATAAACAATGCGAAAAAGAACATGCTAATGCAGATATCACAATGCGAAACATAAAAATCGGACACCACTGACATTTGCTGCCATAAATTGTTATACTTAATGCACCGACATCGTTTCGAACAACTTATAAATAGGTTATATTAATTAGTCGAACGCCGGCACAATAATTGGATTTATTTACAAGTTTAACTTGTTGCCAGCAGCCCATAAACCAAATGGGAAAAAAAAACCAAATTAAAACCCCACAAACATAAATAAAAAGCCCATGAAATTACCGAATCCAGATAATCGAGTGATTAAAACTGGATATGCATATCCTTAACTTTTTCAATTTGCCATTTTATTATTGTAGAAATGTTGAAATAATCGTACTGATTGCATAACACCCAAATCATCGTCAGCCAAAAGAAGAAGAAAACAAATGCGCACCCGGGAACGATTTAATAAAAAAGGAATACTAAAGGGGAAAAAATTAATTAACATATTTTTTTATATTAGGTTGTCTTGACGAAAGCCATCCGAGCGTTTGCATATAATTAAGGGACTTATGTACACAGCAAAGCAGCAACATTCGCAGATAATAACAGAGTCTACTTAAAATAACTTTATTCTTAGGCTGGGGTACGTAAATAAATAAATTGGGAGGGAGCGTCATGGTTCTTAGAAACTTGAACTAAGAAATATTTAAAGACTTTGCAATGAATATCGATTTGGTAAAAAAGTAAAAAATAGTTTGTAGTATTGGTTGGATTAAAGTTCAAGCAAAACAAACATTACTTTTAATGAAACCATTTAATGTTATTAAGAGCAAATGAACATCTCTTAATTATAAACGTAAAAACTCGGCACACTTTTCAAAATTTCTGGATTCACCCGCTGAAATATGTATTTATACACCTCCCAAGCAGCTTATGGGTGGCAAAAAACAAAAAAAAATAATCAAAACCCAACCCAGTCGCGTCAGTTGAACTGACGCAAATGAAGGCACCATAAATTGTATATATATCACCGATATATCGGAATCGGCCCGCGGGCAGTACATATACGAGTATACTCGCACATAAGTGCATTATTAGCACTTTCATGGAACTGAGAATGGAAATCGGAATGGAAATGTCAAATGGGCGCTGGACACACAGAGTGCGTAGAAGTTATCGGGGGGACAGACGGACAGTTGGCCAAAGTCGAGTAGATCGGTCTCTCTGACATATCGGCCATTACAATTATTATTACATATTAACATTTGTAGCATTCTTACATACTTAATACATTATTACAGTAATTTAATAACATGTTCTCATGGTCAACCTGCTGCTGCTGCTGTTGCTGCTGCTTTTGCTCTGGTGGAGTGCCAAGTGGATTCCATCCGAGTGCTGGATGGAGTGCCCAGTAATATTGACAGTATTGCGGTTGCATATTTTAAAGAACCTACCGCCCCCCTGACCACCACCCCATCGATTACATTGTAGCCAAGAGTGGGGAAACAACAACAGGAGGTCATAATGAACGACACTTTACGGGCAATGCGATCCGCTCCATTGATGGCTCAATGGGGTTCCGTTCCCGGTCAAATCAAATCGCAGATACAAACATCAAATATCACGATTTTCAGCTGTCACTCGCCGGTGGTGTTCACTGTCCACTGTCTTCGATGCGGATGCGGATGCGGACATTTGAGATCGCGGCGCTGCGACTCGGATTCGGACTCGGATTCGGTTTTTAGCTCCCCAGCTCCCCCGTGGAAAGTGAAAATGCATCGGTCTAATTATAACACGTGATATCATCGGACGCGCATGACTTAGGCGAAACTGCACCAGATCCGGCAACAACAATCGGCCAGAACCTGATTGGATTATGCCTTGTCTTGGATTATGGATTATGCACCGCCGCCCCGGGAGATTCGGATTCGAGCTCAAGTTCAATGTGGAAGCGGCTAATCCGAGCCGCCAGACAAGGCGAACCCTTGAAAATGGAAGCACCTCACTCACTATCTAATACACCGAGAAATATTTCTAGTCTGGGCTTTCTTCTTAGATAATGAAATGTAAATTCTTCAACTTGTGATTGTTTGTGGTTTTAGAAGAACTTTAACAATACGGTTTTAATCTTTTTAACAACATGTGGTTTGTTGATAAAATATAAATATATATTAAAATTGCTCGCAAATACAAAGATTAAAGTATTATCAATTATAAAGTATTACCTGCCTATTTTGCTTATCTACGATTCATACGTTTCAAACATGTGTTTCTTGCACTTGAAGTATTAATTTTTTTCAAGCGTAGTGTATTAGTGTAGGGTCCATTTGGAAAACTGTTCGTATTTCCCACCGTGTAGGGGGCCTCCATCGTCCACCCGATACGCCTCTGGACACCCAAAACCACAAACCTCGACGTGCAAATGTCTATGCAAATGCGCCGCCCCCCAGCAGTTGGCAACCCCTCACCTTCGAATCGGCGGCTTTTGCACAAACAATTTCATTTCGCTTTTAATTTCTTCGCGCAGCGCTTTTTCGTGTGTGTTTGTCAACTAAATTGGGTCTAGTTTATGCGGTTTTTTATGAATCTGACCTTAGTCATGATCATGAAACGCTCCACACCGATCCGCTGGGCTGCAATTGGGGCATGAATGGGGAAACTCAGTGCCAGTTACCCACTGGAAAAGAGGCTGGAAATTGGATAACAAGAGCAGCCGATTAGGGTGATTGTTTGAAATAGATTTAAATGGTTCGTGTTAACAAAAACCGATTCCTTTGCTTAAAATTAAAAGGTTACAAGGAATTGACAAACATAAAAGTTATTTAAAATATTATTAAGAGAATGACTCATTTTTTTAAGTAGATGAAATAAATTAACACAACTTACAAAAATTTACTTACTTACTTACTTTTGATTATTGTATTTGATTTAGTAAAGACATGTGAGGTTTTAAGAATATTTTAGTGATGATTTAATGCGAGAGTTTCAACTCCAACAGCCACTTGACAGAAGCTAACGAACCTAAATCTTGTTTGATTGACTATATAAAGATTTCAAACTGAAACTTAATACCCAACACGTGATAGAGGGCTTCGTTCTTCGCGATGAACCCCAAACAGCTGACGATTGACACATTTGCTGCTGCGGCTCCAAACAAGCTTCAAATCAAGTTCAAAGTCAAACTAATTATCAGCAATTCAGCTAATCAATAATAAAAGCCAGCGAGCATACATAGATAGAAAAATTCCCACTGACAGCGAACGCCCAAAAAACATGAAACATGTTTGGTTTAGGTTTGGGTTTATATTTAGTTTTTGTATATTTTTTTTGTGCCTCAGTTTCGGCAAGCAAAACAAAGCGCTTGGACTAGCCAAACTACTTACACCGACTACAAAATCCCACAAAACACACATAAATGCAAATAAATAATTAAAGGCAGCAGCAAATCAACGCGAGCAGCAATATTTTGGCAGCGAACTTGTTTAATTTGCATAAAGTCGCACAAATAAAAACGCAGATGCAATTAAAAAGGCGCGCGCGTAGATCCAGTCAGCTGATGATGGGTTCGGATTGGCTGGGGAAAAGTGCTCCAAAAGCCGGGGGCTCAGGCTCCAGGGGGATCCGCAACTGGAACCGGCAGCTGGGTAAATTTAAATACATTTTTTATATGCATTTCGTTGACATTTTTTCGCCTCGCCGTTGTTTAATACGGCTCGGAATTCAGGAATCGGAATCCACTGTCTTGAAACTAGTTCGTCGCAGAATTAGTGCAGTAAATATACAAAAAAAAAAAAAAAATCAAGAGAAAAAATAATGTATAAATATGCACGCTTTTGTGTGGGTTAAATATGTATGTGCGTACTTCTAAATTGAGTTTTATTTAGCGTGTTCTATTGAAAGGACAATAAACTCTCGGCGAAACGTCAAGGTCAACCACATCGCATTAGAAGACGACGATCAATTCTTATTCGGGCCGCTTTAGACATATGTATTTCGGTTCTAAATTCAGCACAACCCGATTGTTTTGGGTATGCAAATTGCACCAGAATGACAACTGATCATCTCCGTTGGAGGTGATAAATAATCTGAAAGTGCAATTAGGAGCAGTTGCCAAGGTTTAGTACTCCTTAAAAGGAATGCAACACCCCTTAAAATGTAAATTAAACGAGGTATAGTTTGGTTGGGCGTTACTACATATTTATTTGCTCTCAAAATACTTCATTGTGGTTCACGGATATTAGGATGTGAGGTGGTCAGCTTGGGCTAAGGACCTCTATCTCGATTGCGGATTGCCAACTGAATTGAGGGGGATGGTACCGCCCAAGTGCGTGGTTCTAGCAGCAAGGGTATCCACAGTAGCAGCCGCCACAGGGTCCACAGGCACAGCAGGGTCCGCAGACATTGGGTCCAAAAGAGGGTCCACATCCGAAGCCGCAGGGTGCGCAGCACGGTCCGCATGGCCCGCAGCAGGGCCCACAGCAGGGTCCACAAGGTCCGCAGCACATGATGAATCCGTAAAAATTCTGACAGAATAATAAAGCAAGAAATTAAACCTTGTTTCGGATTTATATAAACTATTTTTCACTTACTTCGAACCGAACGAGAAGTAATAATTTGAGAGTACACGAAAATGATGTTTTAGATGTGTTAGATGTGTTCACGTCGAGAGGACAACCCAAAATGATGTTTTAACAACCAAAAAAATAGTACATAACTTTGACAAAAGGATGTAAGGTTGCTTTATAATGTCTTACTTACAAAGGTTCTACACTTTAGCAGAAAAAACTAAGAGCAATCATTGTATTTTGCTTAATTATAAGTATAAATAATTTAAAAAAATTTCCATTGCACTTGCAAGCAGTTAAAATCGCACTTCAGATTGAATCGCATTGTTTATTACAACGAGCAGCCACTATTTTCGCAGTGCATTGTAACATGTGAAGTGAGTAAATGAGATTTAAATTTTCGTTTTGTGGACGGATCATGTGTTCATTGCACCCGGCTGAAGTTCGAATCGCTGCCGGTTCTCAAGTCGAGTTCTGCGCTGCAGTTTTGTTTACTCTTGATTTTGTCGTACTTTTTGATTAAGTGCATGGCGCATAGCTCCCCGACTCCGGGTATCGGGGGCTGAACGGGTATACTATATATGCAAGTGTATATGAAGTTCATTATCTGACCGAAGAGCCGTGTTGTTTCCCCAACTTAATCGAGCCAAGAATGTCGCATTGATAGAGGTCGATCACCAGCGATTGCGATTGCGCCTTGGATGTCACTCGTGTAATTGAGCGCAATTTATTTCATTTGCTAACGATTTTACGATTTCGGTTAATTAACCCCCGAAAAGCAGGAAGCAAACTAGTAGTTCCCATTGGAACCACATCGACATCCACATCCCCATCCCCATCCACACTTGTACCTTGGCCAAAATAAATGCTTATACAATGATTCGTATTTGTGCATGACTGACTCAGCCGGAGCGTTCGAATTGGCATTCGCATTCGGGCAGAAAAGTATGGGTTGCAAATAAAAAGCGCATAATAGGCGTTTAAATGCAATTTTCTCCGCAAAATGGTCGGTCGAAATATCAAAAATTCGAATTATATGTTTTGCAGCATGTTGATTAGAAAGAAATATGTGTGTGAGCGGAGGGTCGACCAGCAGAAGCAAAAAACCACGTCGACACACCGCACAGAAGTCCTCTGCCTTCTAGCAGAAATATTTGGGTAGCATCTCGCATCCGATGAGACGGACAAGTCCAACTCAAAGTCGAGCGGCTTCATCATTTTCATCACGGAGAAAAAATAAATATAAAGTTTAGCCCCCAAAAAAATGTGAAGGGTACTATTAGTAAATATTAATACTAGGTTTTCATTATAACTAACTTTACATTTGCTTTGGGTACCTTAAAATGTGTTTATAATACAAAACAAATTTAAGCAAATGAAAATTCTCTATATATACCCAACACGGATTGATTTCTATGTTTAGTTTAATTTTTTCCTGTGTGGGTTTCTGCTTTTTATTTGGCCAAGATGGATGGAACTCTGGTCAATAATTTTGTGAGGGTGCCGCCAAAAGGGCAGCAGACGCCGTTCTAACTTAGGTTTTTTTCACATTTGCGCTGGTCTTTTGTTTGAAATAGATTATTGGCAATACATATGTATAAAAATATTTTCATTCCGTCTGGAGACGGAGAGTTCAAGGATTTTTATTGGGTTCAGTGAACCAAATGTCTCTCCTCCGGCCGGAAATATCAAATTCGCTTTAATTATGGCCCCTCGCGCAACTTATTAATATAAGTTTGATGAAAAGTGAAACACAATGGGCAAACACAGATGTCATCATCGGATGGAAAGCGCTGAATAGTGCCAGTCAACCCAAGGAAATCAATATCCGCCTGCCGAAAGTGTGCGCCCTAATGACTTGGGGCGTGGCAATCGAAGATCTCAAAGTGTAAAAAGGGGCAGAAAGGGTAAAAGGTGAGTTAAGGTAACTCGAGAAGCCGTTGAAAGTGAAGAAAGCCCGTGCCGCCCCCTAAAAACTGGCAGCTGATCCCCTAAAAAGAAAAGTAATGAGTGATTTTACAAGATGTTCAAGACTCAGAAAGAATAATCTTATGAAAATAAAATAGTAGTAATATTTTACAACCTGAAAAGACAGTTTTATTTTTCTTGAGTTATAAATTAAGATTTTAACCATTATTACCGGCGTTGTAAAGAGCCTGAATGACTTGTGAACGTTTCAATTTAAAACCTGAAGTCCTGAAAGGGTAAAAGGTGATGGCAGGTAACTTGAGTAACCCAAGGAAAGTGAAGAAATCGTGAGTTCTAGGCACGTGCCGCCCCCCAAAAGGGATTCAGCTGTCGTGAAAAGGAAAGTGATCGCAACGTGGCCCAAAACCGATCCAAATTCAGATCGAAATCAGAGGAGTGGAAGCCCTAAATTCTGATTGATCGTGCGACATGGGATGCGGATGAGGCTGCCGGGAATTCCTAAGAAAATGGCACACACACAAAAAACGCAGCACGCAAAAAAAGGGTGGAATACAATATAATAATAATAAGGAGCAAGGGAGCAGAGAGCTCTTATTATTTAATTTGGAACTGGGCCGTTCTTGTTTTTTTTTTTTGGTTCTTGTTTTTCTGCTCCGGTATCAATGAATCGAAATGAAATAAAATGAAATGCGAATGTCTCGATCGCGTGCGGCAACATTTTCACAGATTCAAGATATCGAGTTTTGGGCTTTTTGCTCTGGATTCTGATTCTGCCATTTGATTTGTGCCTCCTTTTGATCGTGCCCCATTTTTTTCGTTGGCCGTTTGTGTGTAATATCGGGGGTTGTGTCTTCTGTTTAGGCTATAAATGGCATATTAATACATATTTTGGTTTAACCCTTCAACAGTTTTTGGGTCTTGTTTTTCCATAAGGTCTTAAAAAATACAAGTATGAAATATTTTAATTTGAATGTAAATACGATTATTCTTACTTTAAAATTTTATGAGTACAAGCTTTATAGAATCTAAAAATTCTTAAGATGCCTTTGTGAGTAAAATTTGAGGTGTTAATCCACCATTTTGTTGGTCAAATATTTCTACCAATGCGATAGTTTTTTCATAATTTTTTCCCGAGCCAGTTGATGACTAATACGCATGCAAGTTCCTCGAATTCCGCCACCCCCGCTGGCCCCTCTGCATTCCACAAATAGTAGCCTGCCAAATTGCAACTCAATTATAAATTGCAAAGGGGGAAATAAAAACTGAAATGCAAAGAAACCGAAAAGCGAAACCGAAACCAAAGAAACCAGGGAAAAAACCCAAAAGAGTCGCAGTGTAAAATTGTAGCTTAGGCAGCGGCAAAAACTGCTAATTTAACTGCTAGTTTCGCATGCTAACACACATGCACACGCCGAAAAGCTGGAAAGCATCAATGGAAATGCAATGAAAATGCAGGTTGAGCTCTGGAAAATCCATGATATGTGCGAGTACGGGGAAAATCTTCCGCGTTTGTGTAATGCAGGAAGATTTTGCATGATGTTTGCTTTTGCAGTTGCTGTATATTTTCCCTGGACTGCTGCCACATTGTATAGGTACTTTGATACACTTGGAGAAAATCTGGGATTAAATCTTATTATTATGTGTGCATTATATTCCATCCAAGAAATTTATATAACATTAAATAATTATATATTTTCGAATGCATTTCAATTATAATACAAATCAGCAAGAAATGAATTTTTTGTCAAATGTTTTTCATTTAATACATCTCTGAATGTGAAATTTTTTTCGGTGCACAACTAGATGTATTCGGGTGCTGACAGTTTCCCGTGAGATTGGCCAGTGGCGCCAGAAAGATTGCTGATCACCTGTGCCATCCGAAAGAATCGCCTGGTGGAGTCCAGTGGAAATGCCGCCAAATCGATCTTATAAATTTCTCTCCAGCGGATCGGTGATCGAAGATCCAAGATCGGAGAGCGAAAGCACGGGCTCCGTTTGAAAGAAAGCAGGTGAGAGCGACGATCGCTCGTAAAGAGCTCAAAACATGACACCCCAGATTCGCCCGCTCCTTGGCCGAAGGGGGAGGGGCTGGTGGTGTGGAGAGGGGGGAAGGGGCGGGAGAAAGGGGGAGGAGACAGCGTGCGAAAGTGAAATCGAACCTTCGCTGCCGGCGTTTGCGCTTTTAAGCAACAACAAAAACAACGAAGCCGGGCCGGTTTCAAAGTTTACGAGGGGCGCGACTACGCTGCACAGTGTATCAAATTCTTAGAGTTGTGAAACAAAATACCTCCCCCATTGATATCATATGATTTTTAGACCTTTTATGGAGGTTTGTGAGCTCTGCTAGAAACATGCAAAAAAAAAATACCTTACCCATTAAAACAACATCAGGTTTGACTGCTTTACGTACCGATAAAAACTTTTAAAAATGTCATAAACACGGGTTTGCATTTTTTGTAAAATTTTCTACAAATTTGAGTTTCCTAAATAAAATAAGTTTCCTAAAAAAATTAAGAAAAACACTTTGTTTTTTTAAATAAAATAATTTTTGGTCAGTAAGTGGAGGTTGAATAAAAAAAAAGACAATCCAAAGCTTGTGTATAGATTTATAAAAGTTAGTTGTTTTGCAAAAAAATAAAACAATTATTTATGGGGTACAATTTTTAACAAGACCTTTACCAAACTTTTTTTTGACAATGAAAGTCAAATAAAAAAAGCAAGAACCTGATCGTATTCAACAAAATAATTAATTACTACACACTGTGCACTGGAGATTCAGCTTTGGACAAGTGCAGGGAGCACGCCGAGCGGTTGGCTGTTGACTTAAATTAATAATAACAAAAATACGAATTTGTAAAAGTTTCGCATTTATTTTTACAGACGGTGAATGAAAATCCGTTTCGGTTTTAATTTTGGCTCCTCGCTGGCAGCTATCGTTTTTGGCCCGGTCAGTGAACTTTGTCCGACTGGACATTACTTTCGTCACGAAGAGTTTAGCATACGTGAGCGACCGCCGATGACGCGCTGGCCGGGCCCTAACCCGATAATTATAATTACCCACCGATTGCCGGGTGGGTGGGCGACGATGAGTCGGCTTTTCCTTCGATTCGGACGCATTTGAGGCTAATTTTGGACCTGGTCTTAACTCGGTCATCATCCAGCCCGAGTTTCGATTTCGATTTGGTTTATTTGTTTTGATTTCAATTCGTTCTAAATCGCAAATGAGGAAATTTAAATTT